CCTTCATGACTTTGTGTCACAGGCGACTCAAGAGCTCATCTGGCTGAATGAGAAAGAGGAAGAGGAGGTCGCCTTCGACTGGAGTGATCGCAACAGCAACATCTCGCAGAAAAGAGACTATCATGCTGTAAGCCATTTCTGTCTTGACCTGTTGGTATCTTTCGTGCACCCAGGAAAAAAAACAAAACAAATCAGTTTACAGCATTCATTCAGAATAGATAATTTCAGGGAATGGGTTTAAATGGTACCTTGAATGATTGCCTCTACTCTCCACACTGAGGCAGGATGTGAGATTATGTGAGACGATGGAGTAGTTGATCCTTCACCACGCCTTAGCACCAGGGGCATTTACCTTAACGTCTTTACACAGGACCTGATGAGGGAGCTGGATGAAAAAGAGGACACCATTAAGTCTGTGCAAGACAAGGCAGAGCGCCTCATGCTGAAGAATCACCCAGCCAGACTAACCATTGAAGTGAGGGCAATGTACTATTTTCTGTATTTGGGCCTGGAATTGTGCAGACAACTGCAAGTTGTTTCCAACATGCAGTTTTCCAGTATGTCTGATAATTTTGCTTCCTCACAGGCATATAAAGCTGCAATGCAGACACAGTGGAGTTGGATTTTGCAGCTCTGCTCCTGCGTCGAACAGCATCTTAAAGGAAATGCGGTATATTTTGAGGTGCGTTGCTCCCAAAGACTGTTCTATTAAATGCATTTATTTGTTTATTTTCACATCTAACATTTATGCTCCCTTTCATTTCCCCTATGCAGTTTTTCAGTGATGCCAAAGTGTCCATGGACTACCTTAAGAACCTAAAAGATTCAATTCAGAGAAAATACAGCTGTGATCGATCAAGCAGCCTACACCGGCTGGAGGATCTTATTCAGGAGTCCATGGTAACACTGATGCAGTGATATGAACTGTATGCATTTGTGTGTAAAGATGAAAAAGTACAATAGGTTTCCCACATTTTGTCCACATTTTGTCTGGTCACTTTTTTAAGGGTAGTACACAAAGTTAGTTTGTTCTTCACAAACTCATTTATGGGAAACAGAGCACCTTTTTCCACATGTTTTCAGTGTCTTTCCAATAACCTGCTGCAAATTTTTAGTAGTACTTATTCAATTATTTCAACAATGGCTTTATTCTTGCCACTTTTGCAGAAAGGCAAAAGTGCTCCTTGAGATCTTTTGAATATTTCGACAATTTGTAACTCTTTCCACCATTTTACAATGATGTGCTACTTTATGTAAAAAAATGTCATGTTACAGTCACAAGTTTTCAGTCATAACATTGCAAAGTACAAACATGTTTTTTTTTTTATTTTTTAAACTTTTTATGTCATGGTACAAACTATATTGTTTGTATGTATTCTCAGGATGAGAAAGAGCAGCTTCTTCAATACCGTAGCACTGTCGCCGGTTTAGTGGGCAGGGCCAAAAACATTGTGCAACTCCGGCCGAGAAACCCTGAAATTCCCCTGAGGTCCTCCATTCCTGTCAGAGCAATATGTGATTATCGGCAGATAGAGGTATTGTTGTCTTAAAAACATGACAACACAGTTAGTCCCATTTCATGTAGAAGCTTGTGTAACAGATCTCCGCTGTATCTGTTTGATAACTCTTTCAGATTACCATTGATAAAGATGATGAGTGTGTTTTGGTGAGCAACTCTCACCGAGCCAAGTGGAAAGTCATCAACCCAGCAGGGAATGAGGCCATGGTTCCCTCTGTTTGCTTCACTGTGCCTCCAACCAACAAAGAGGCCGTTGACTTGGCAGCAAAGTGAGCCACTCGGAAACTAGGATCCATTTTCCTGAAGCATTCATTGTCTAAATCGCTTCTCTTCTATTGCAGAACTGAACAGTTATACCAAAATGTCCTGACGCTGTGGCACCACTCCCATGTCAACATGAAGAGTGTTGTGTCCTGGCATTACCTAATGGCTGACATACGGGCCATCCGCAACTGGAACGTAGCCTCGGTATTTATAGATATTTGTTCCCCCACTCCCTGTTAATAATTACTACTAATTAGCTTTAGTTTATGATCTTATTCAGAGATTTGCAATGCTTTCATTTTTGAAACAACTTCAGATAAAGACGATGTTGCCTGGCGAGCATCAGCAGGTCCTGAGCAACCTCCAGTCCCACTTCGATGAGTTCCTGGAGGACAGCAAGGAGTCAGAGGTGTTTACAGTGGCAGACTGTGCACAGCTGGAGAGAGACGTGGCAGCCTGTAAGGAGTACTACCAGGAACTGCTCAGATCCGCAGAGAGAGGCAAGCCTTCAATTTTCCTTCTAATAACAGCCCAGCCTCCAGCAGAGGCACTTTGGTCCTTATGGCCCTTAAGCTATAAATTAAGACTGTGATTGTACACAATTACATAATTTATACTTTTTTTAACATTGAAATGTGTCTATTAGTTTATTTCTAAACTAATAAAAGTCAGGGTTGCATTTCATGAGCCATAACGTGACGTACACTGTGATAATGCCACCACCTAGTGGTGTATAACCCACACAATTTATTTTGTTTTTTACATGGTTTCGGTCAAACACTACTGATTACAAAAAAGTCCTTTCTTAATTGATGATATCTTTATTGTCAATATTTTTTATCCACAGAAGAACACGAGGAGTCGGTGTACAATCATTACATCTCAGAAATCCGCAACATCCGTATGCACCTGGAATCCCACGAGGAACACCTAATCAGGCAAATCCGATCACCACTGGAGAGAGATGACCTGGAGCAGAGTCTGCAGTGCATCACTGAACACGAGGTAATCAAATTAGTATTTTTTTTTCTTTTATCCTTCTTACATAAATAGGTACTTATGTGATGTAACTATTCATAACATTCTACATTCTGGTTTGCAGAGGAAGATGTCTGAGCTGGAGAGGCTGAAAGGCGATCTGGATGTCATGAGGGAGAAGTGCGAGCAGTTCTTCAGACAGGCTGCAGGCTCTCCGTCTGTGTCCATGCTTTCCTCTGAACTTTCTGTCCTTGTTCAGAGCATGAGCCAAGTGTACTCCATGTCCTCTATTTATATGGAAAAGTAAGCACTTGTATTATTGCATGTCAGGGAGATATTTTTTTTAACAGGAAATGGTTGATCTGAAGTGGAGCCTCTGTTTTTGTAGGCTGAAAACAGTGAGTTTGGTGGTGAAGCACAGTCAGAGCGCAGAGTCTCTCGTTAAAGCCTATGAGTCCAAACTATACGAAGAGGATGCTGTCAACTCGGATGTCAAATCCATTGAAAGTGTGATTTCTACACTTAAGGTAGCGCTACATTTTTAAAAATATAAAAACAAGCTGCTTGCACTGTGACAACTTGTTTTAAGTAGTCATCCATTTTTCTGTTTGTAGCAATGGCGGACGGAGATTGACGAGAGGCAGGAAGTATTCCACGACATGGAGGATGAGCTGCAAAAAGCCCGCGTCATCAGTGATCGCATGTTTAAAGCCCATAACGAGCGAGACTTTGACCTGGACTGGCACAAGGAGAGGGCGGATCAGCTGAGTGAAAGATGGCAAAATATTCACTCCCAGATTGATAGCAGGTTTGCAGGATGTGTGTTTTGTTGCATCCCTTCTGTAGAGATGCACTGATCGGAATTTTTTCACAACTTTCTGAATCAAATTTCCATTTTTGTAGAGCTTTGACCAGCCAAAATCAATTTTAGATGATTTGGGTTTTTCTTAAAATACTTTTATGAAAGATGTAAGAACATTCAAGCATTTGCTCTAGATTCCAGCCTGTAATGGTTCATTTTTTGGATAAAAGGCCATATCATGGCTTTGTGTGAAAGATTCTTGCATAAAAAACCCCCCACACAATTACACAGTTCTCATATTTAGCTAGTTTTAGTGTCTTGTAAAGCTACTTTAGTGCTGCTAAAGTAGCTTTATATAACAACCGCCTATGTTTTTACCAAGGATTGTAGAACTTGACTCTTGAATTTCCAAAATACAGTACACAAATTTAGCACTTCATATGTAATGAAGGTTAAACCCTCAAAATATTAGAAGGAGAAAATAATGCTTTAGACAATTACATTTAATTGTCTTGTAAAACATTTTAAAATATATAATTTTTGAGTTTTTGACCTGCCAGCCATCATCAGGGAATATAGTCCCTGCCTGATCCCAAATCAGTTTCACCTTTTCTCTCCACTTTTATTTCTTAAATTTATTTGATCACAGGATTTGTGTGAAGAGCTCTTATATTTTTTTTATGAAGGTTTCCTATAACAATTTCAGGCTGCGGGACCTTGATGGAATCAGCAAGTCTCTGAAACACTACAGAGACTCCTACAGCAGTGTGGATCAGTGGATCTCTGAACTGGAAACAGCACAGCTGAAAGCCCAAGAAAACAAACCTGATGATAGCAAGGCTCTTGCTGAGATATTAAACAAACAGAAAGTAAGAGAGAACTGAAGTCCCCTTCTCATAATAAGATGTATCTATTTTTATAGTTTTCAGCCCTAAAATATGTTTTTTTTAGGTTCTTGTTGCTGAAATGGAACAAAAGCAAAACAGAATCGATGAGTGTCAAAAGTATTCGGAGCAATACTCATGTGCTGTTAAGGTAATTTGAGACTTTCTTTGATTTTGCAAAGGCAACACCTAAAATATTTCAACTAATTTTAAAAATTTTGCTTAAAATTCCAGGATTATGAGCTGCAGTTAATGACATTCAGGGCGATGGTTGACTCCCAACACAAGTCCCCTCTTAAAAAGCGGAAGATGCAGAGCTCCTCTGACGCCATTCAGCAGGAGGTAAGACTAGATTTGCATTTTATTTATAGTGCAAAATATTTTTTGCTTTTGTATTTTCTGCACATTCACACATTAATTTTTTGGGGATTAATTTCATGCAGTTCATGGACCTCCGAACCCGCTACACTGCTCTTGTCACTCTTATGACCCAGTATGTGAAGTTTGCCAGTGAAACTCTGAAAAGAGCCGAAGATGAAGAGGTGAACTGGTTTCAATTTAAAAATAACATTTATGTACAATGCTCAAAAAAATGCATCCTGTTTTGTATTTGCTCTGGTTCTTGCAGCTTCTGGGACATCTTTTTTTTCTCCTGATGTTGACAGCATCTTTGTCTTTTCTTCTGAAATGGATGATATTTAGATTCACAAATCTTCCATATGCTTTACTTCTCATCCAACTTGACTTCTTGACTCACAGGCTCATCATGCTGACAGAGAATTTGCTTCCTTGAGCAAAAGAAGCAAAGAAAGTGCATAAGTGTGTAAAATAGCTGCATGTCTGCTGGTGATGGTGAAGTGGGTAGAAACATCTCAAGCATTCTTGGACAGAAACAAATAATAATAAAAAAAATCTCTCTAGGAGTTTGTAAAGCAGTTTCTAATAGCATTTACATTTTAGAGATTTTAGATGAAAGACTCATATTTATAATTTTTATCTACACCATTCCTTTTTTTATTAACATGACATTCTATTCCATTGACTGAAATATTCAAGTTAAAGGCTGCTACTTTTCTGAATTGTCCAGTCTGAGATTCTGCTGCTCCAATAAATATGGGTGGCAAAACATATGTATGATGAAGTATTTAAAAGTTTAACAAAAGTAATCAGAATTCTATTAAAAATTTTTTAGATACTGTTCGCGATATGAACTAAATTAGCATTCTCTCATAAATATATATATTTTTAAATCTCAAACTCTTGGAGAGATTCTTTAGGAGAATAGCTGCATATTTGAGGTAACCATGTCTATTTAAATGTGAATCTGTGGATGACTAATTTTTTTGCATTGTAGAACAGGAGGGCTTTCGAAAGAGCAGAGGATGCAAAAAGGACTGAGAACATGGAGGTCCAAAAAGCCAGAGAGGAAGTAGAAATTAGACAACTTAAGGAACGGATCCAAGAACAGGAAGCTTTGCTTACGGAAAGGGAAGCACAGGTGGAGAAGCTGGAAGTAGAACTAGAAACACAAAAGAAGATCGTTGAGGATTTAAACTTTCAGAAAGCAAAGCTTGAGCATGATGTCAGTCAGTATAACACTGAGTTAGACATAGTGATTAAAGACAAAGCTGCACTTGAACAGGAATTAAAGTACACCAAAACTTTAATGGAGCAGTCGGAGGCCACCTCTTCTCTGACTCAGAAGAAACTTGAGGAAGTCTTAAAGAAAGAAAATGATGCACAGACTTCCAGCCTACAAAGAAAAACAAATGGACAGGAAGTAGATTTAGCAGCAGAGGAGTTACAGAGTGAAGTTCCAGCTAAAAGCAATGATCAGACAGCAAAGTCTTTGGGACTTGAGAGCCAATCAGAACTGGGCACCCAACTCGAGGAATCTGCAGACAGAATGCATGATGTCTTGCAGCAGAAACTGGATGAACTATCTCAGGTCCAGAAAAAAGCAGAGATGGCTGAGGAGAAAGCACAAAGCTATAAAAAGCTTCTGGATGACAGCAACAACAGACTGAAAAAACTGCAGATGGAGATAGAAGGAGAACGTGTCCAGACTAGACAGAATTCAGATGATTTCCACCAGGAAATGCTGAACATGAAAAAATCCATCTCTGAATTTCAGGAAGAAATCAGAACTCTCCAGAGAGCAAAGTCCTCATTGGAGCAAAGCAACTTTTTCCAAACCACCGAAGTAGAAGGCCTTAAAGAGCAGCTGAAGATCACCCAATCAGAGCTGCAGAAGAGAAGCTCTGTAGAGCAGGAGAACTCCTACAAGATAAACAACCTAGAGGAAGAGGTAGCTTCCAAACAGTCAGCCATAGATCAGCTGAAAACAAAATGCAATGAGTTGATGAGGATGAACGTCTCGTCTGATAGTGACATTCGAAGTCTTCAGATCCAAATAGAGTCCGTGGAAAAAGAAAGATCATTCTCTGAACAAAAGATAAAATCTTTAAAGAATGAGGTGGAGAGCTGGAAACAACAGCTTCAAATCTCGAAGGATGAGAGCAACACAGTGAAGAGATCTGAACATGCCCTGCAGATCAAATACAAGAACCTCGAGGCAGAACTTCAGAGGAGTGAAAACGTTACATCTCAGCTGCAGAAGAAGATTGATCAGCTCAAGCAGATCAACTTAGAAGTGGAGCAGAATGCCAAGAATGTGAAAGCCAAACTTGATCAAGTGATGATGGAGATTGAGAGCAAGGACCAGCAAATTAAAATCTTCAAGTCACAGATAGAGGGTGCTAAATCTCAGGTTAGAATTATTGATGAGGAGCTAACTAAGAAAACGCAGACCATGCATGAGCTTCAAATTAAATTGCAAGAACATAGTGAGGAGACAAAGATCATTGTTGATCTGCAGCAGAAATTAAAGTCCCAAAATGGAAAAATCATAAATTATGAGAAAGAAATAGCAAATCTGAAATTAGAACTACAATCTGTATTTGCCGAGAAAAACATTGTAAATCAGAAAGTTCACGTGCAGAAAGCTGAAATAAATGATTTGAACGAGATGCTGAAGAAAATAAATGTGGAGCTGCAAAAAGAATCTGATGAAAGTCAGAAACATCTGCATAAACTTAAAACTCTAGAAGAAGAACTTTTACAACACAAGGAGAGCTTTAAAGGAATAGCAAACAACTCTGAAAAAGTAATCGAAAACCTAAAGCAGGAAATTTATACGCTTCAGAATGAAAAGGCAGCAGTGGAAAGGAAGGTAGTGAGTCTGAATGTTCAACTTTCAGAGGTTAGCTCCGTAATGCAAAGAGCAAAAGATGAACTAGCTCAAGAGACAAAAGAAAGAAAATCGAAAGAATCTAAAATTATTCTGCTAGAGACTGAAATCAAAGAAATCATGTCCAGCTCTGACAAATCCCAATCAAATCTACAACGTGAAAACACAGTCCTGAAGAGGGAGAAATCAGAGATGCTGGAAAAAACCCTTTCTCTGGAAACAGAACTCAGAATGCTAAAAGACAAGCTGCAACATAGCCAAACAGATGCAGAGATAAAGCAAAGAGAAAACTTTACTCTTCAGCTAAGGTCCCAGCAGATGGAGGAACAGCTGGAGAAATGTAAGAACATGCTAGAGGAGCTAAAGGGTAAACTTGAACTCCAGAAAGAAGGCTATGAGAGGCAGCTGTCACTTATGCAGGCAGAAATTGAGAAGAAAATGATTTTGTTGCAGTCTGAGATTGCAAAGGAAGGCCAGCAGTCACAAAGTGGGGAATTAGCAGAGAAACTCAACAAATATTTTAAGCAAGATGTAAAACTGATTAAAACTCTGCAACAAAACACAGTAGAATCAAGGCACCATATGGACAAAATGGAGAAAATGGAGCGACAAAGAACAAAGCTTGAGCAAGACTTGTTGAAAGCAAAGTCTGAGATTACCCAACTTGAGGATGAAAAACTGAAACTCTCCACTAAAATAAATTCTCTGCAAAGCCTCTACAATCAACAGTCAGTTGAGAGAACAAAGTTTGAACAAAAGCTGTCAGATAGTGAGCACAAACTGTTACTGAAAGAAAATGAAGCAAGAGCCCTACGAGAACAAATAGAGTTGTACGTCAGAGAGCTGAAAAACCTGCAGAAAACTTTGTTGACTCTGAGAGGAGCAGTGACTGAAACCGTCCATTCAAAAGTGGAAAATAGCAAAGCTAATCTGTTGAAGGCAAATGTTCCCATGGAGAAGAAAATAACGACAGTAATTGAAGGAGCAAAGAGCAGAATCGAGGATGAACCTCTCAATATTCAAAAGGTATGAAGAAAGCTGTTGAGTGAAATTTAAAGATATTTTATTAATTTAAATGAAATTTAATACTGTTAATATTTTAGTTTTAAAAGTGAACTTTTGTTTTTCATAACTTAAGCATTCCTCTAATGTCACATCTACAGATGGAGACGATGGAAAGAGAAAACGTTCTCGAAGGAATTAAGCAAGTCAAGGAAGTTGCCTCTCTTTACGTAACCCCCAGTATTCAAGCAAAAAATCTGCAGCACATTGCTCACAAAAGTAAAATTTCATCCGATCTTCCCAGCACAGTCAAAGTGCCGGGATACATGGCTCTGTGTGGACTTAACGACCCAAGGCCCAAGAATGAAACTAACATCAGTAAGACAGGCACTTACCAAGTCAGAGAAACTCATGAAGCCATAAATACATCTGAAAAAAGTACAGGAAAATCTTATGGAACACAGCACATATCCTCTTCCCAGAAACACCAGGAGTTAATTGGGAGTCCTGACATTCATTACTGGATCAAGCATAAGCTTCTGGATGAGGGGGTTTTACAAAAGTTAGAGATGGGCCTCCTCACTGTTGAAGAAGTGCAAGCATCACTTATTCATCACATGGATAAACCTGCCACTGTAGCTGGACTTTATGTAGAGTCGAGTAAGAAAAAGACGCCCTTCCTAGAAGCAGCTGAAAAGGGCTTTCTTGCAAAGACATACGCTCTTGAGTTCCTTGAGGCTCAGGCTGCAACAGGCAGTCTCGTGGATCTAGCTACAGGAAAAACAGTGTCTGTTGCAGAGGCGCTAGAGAAAGGCATCATAGATCTAAGTATGAAAGAGAAACTGAAGGAAGCAGAGAAAGCTGTTAGTGGCTACATCTGTAAGGGCAGAAAACTTTCTGTCTTTCAGGCAATGGAGGAGAGAATTATAGATAGATTTAAAGGCAAGAAGATACTGGAGGTCCAGGTTTCTTCAGGAGGGTTGTTTAACCCAGAAACAGGAATGAAAGTCCCAACTTTTATTGCATTGAATGATGGTCTCTTAAACAAAGAGACTCTGCAGAGTCTGCATGATCCAGTGAGCAACCCAAAAGGTTTCCACAGCCCTGACACCGGACAGAGGGCATACTACGATGAAATACTTAAAACCTGCTTATTTGACATCAATGGCAGTGTGTTTCTTGTCCCGTTTGGGGAGAGACACTTGACAAACACATCTCCCATGAGTCCCCATAGAATGTCAGTCGTCAACAGCAGCTGTGGATCAGAAATGTCAGTGTACGAAGCCTTCAAGGGGAAACACATCAACAAGAAGACCTATCTGTTCCTGTCTCAGCAGGAAAGCAACTGGCAGGAAAACTGTCTGGTTGACCCAAGTGGAAACCTACGTCACTTCATCACAGATGCCCGAAGCGGGCGACAGCTTTGTCTCGAATCTGCTTTAAGTCAAAGATTTCTTGAAATGTCTGAGTTTGAAAGCTACCGCAGTGGTCTTTTAAGCATCTATGAGATTGCAGACATCATATTTTCAAGAAGGGTTGTTGTGGAAGATGCCAATAGCCCCATTGCTGGTCTCTGGGACATCACTAGGAAGAAGAGGCTCTCAGTTCTTCAGGGACTTCAGCAGGGCGTTACTGATAGAGTGACGGCATTACGACTGTTAGAGTCCCAAGCCTGCACAGGGGGAATTTGCGACCCTTCAAATGGGGAGAAACATACACTCTCCGACGCTCTGAAAAGAGGTCTTTTAGACGAGGCTCTAAAGCAGCAGCTCCAACAGTTCGAAGAGGCATTCAATGGTATTACCCACCCTCAGACTGGGAAGGTTTTGTCTATTTTCCAGGCTGTTCAAGAAAACCTCCTCCCAAAGGATGTGGGTCTCCGCTGCGCTGAATTTCAGCTGTTGACCGGTGGACTGATAAATCCTGACACAAAGGACAGAGTCTGTCTTGAAGAAGTGATTCAAAGCAATTTTGTCGACAAGACTACAGCCACTCTGCTCAAAGATGAGAAGTTCCAAGCTCAAAGCCTCACCTGTCCCAAGACAAAGAGACGAATCACATTCAAAGAGGCGCTGGAAAGAAGTGTGTTTGACTGCCACACTGGTTTGAGGTTATTGGAGGCTACAAAAGTTCATGCATTTGGAGCCAAAACAGCATTTCATTATCTTTGTGCATTTAAGTAAACATCTGTAAAGGATATATGGAAATGTGACGTCAATATTTTTTCCTTTTGTTGTTTTTTTATGCCCATATTTTACTGCTATGATTGATGTAGGCAATTCTTCTGCTTTTTGAGAGGATTGTAAAATTGTAAAGAACTTACTTTTCTTATTAACGACATTTGAGTATTTAAGAAATTAAGAATCCTGCTGAATGCCTGCCTGTTTTAATTGTAGAGGTCTGTTGATGAGGAGAAGCGAGAGCACGGTGATAAAGTTAGCAAACTGTTGCACTGGATGTCCGATGTGAAGCGGACCATGAACAATGACGGGAATGATCTGAAAGATAGTAATGCCAACACAGATACCTCAAATAAACACCAGGTAACTCATGTATATGTTAAGGTGCATCCTTCTTGTCATTGTGTGATTTACAATAAAAACCACAGACATGTTATTAGTGGTTGCAGTAACATCTTTTGGGTTAACACTTGTTTAACAATATTAATTTGATTATATTCTGGGTTAATCCAATCAACTTCCATGCAAGAAAAACAGTTCCAGAAGTTGCACAAGCACGCATATATACGAGAACGTCTTCACTCCCAATTATTATTACAGTCTTATAAACACATTTCAAATAAAAATAGCTCAGTGTAACGAAGGAATAAAAACTTTAAAGAGTGAACAGTACAAATTATGTTTTTACTACTTATTTATTCCATAATAATTGTGAGGGCATGTTAATAGTGGAGGCAATGGTGATTTACCTAAAAGCAATTATTTGTCAATGACCTTGAGTTATAAAAAAAAAGGAAAGAAAAATAATGACAAGGCTTTGAAAAATTCCTGGAGCTGTTCTAATGAACTAAATTAGGAAAATCTATTAATTCATAGGAGACGTTATTTTAATTTACCAACATACTGTATTGGATGACTGACCAATTTTTTGCGAGGATACAAATATTGTAGTTGGCCCTTTGTAATTACTGTCCAATACAAGATTATTAGCTAAATTATAAGATTATTTTTGATTCTGCTTTTAATCGGTGTTTGTCTTTTTATGTCTATGACAGAGATTTAAAATATGTCTGTACATTGCTTTGAGACATATAAATTACAACTCAATAGGAACCTAGTAATAATTAAGTTCTAATAATTTCCAATTTTTTTGAGGCCCTGCCTGCCAATTTAGATATTGCACAATTTTTCTTTTTAAATTGGGAATATAGAAATGTTTGTTTTGAATCCAAAGAAAAATGAAAAAAAAAAAAAAAACTACAGTTTTCACCATTGTAGCAATAAAATATCACTTATTAGATGATTTTTATATTGAATTCAAACACCAGGCACATGCTGATTATTACATTTATAAGCTCTTTCTTTCATTTAAATAACATTTAAATTATAGACCTACTGATTAGCAATCAGTGTTGATCAAATGAAAATTTCTGTGTTTGATTGCTGCATCGTAATACAAAACTGTAATATTTAAACAGTTTAAACCCCAAATTTGAAATATAATTGTGTTGTATTGCAGTTTATAATGTTCTCTGGTTAATTACAGAAATGCAGACTGCTATATATAACATGTAAACATTTACCCATTTGATGTTTTTAGGTTTCAGTTGAAGAAATGGCTTCCAAAAAGGAGCAAATTGCAGAAGCACTGAGGTCCACACAAACAATGCTTAACAAACATGGTGACAAGTAAGTGTTAATATTTTGATATTACATCTGTAATATCCACAGTGGATATTTTATCCACTCAGCTCTTCACTTTCACTCTATGTTTTGCTTTTCACAGGATGACAGAGGAGGACAGGATGAAGACCCAGGAGCAGCTGAATGCTCTCACTCAGGCCTACAGTGAAATCTCTCAGCAGTGTTCAGATCAAACAACCTCTGCAGATGAGGTTGGGTTCTAGCTATTATGTTTGACTGCATCTATTGCAAATGTGTGCTCCTACACCCTCCTGATGTTGAGACGCATGAATGAACATGATCTGCTTTTCCTTATTATAGTTGGAGCAGTTTTCTCTTGCACTTTTGGTATGATATATGTTTAGCTGGAGTCCAGAGTATCTGAGTATGCTGTAAACATGCTTCACTGTGCCAGCTTTGGTCTGAAAAGTTCTCCATCATTTGTGTATTTCAACTCTCGGATGGTTCAGTGTCAAACCAGACTTGACTTTTAACCTTACAGTGTGTAAACTAACTAACTACACTCTTTTTTGCAAGATGTCGGACACCGCAAACGCATGTTAGCTTTCAGTGTGTTGTGTGTCACTCTCCAGTTGTAACCCTGTTGCAGTCTTGCTCTTCTGCACACAATATTTTAACCATGTTTGTGTGATGGTGAGTATAGATTTTGTCTTTCTGGTAAATATTTAATCCACATTTACAAAGAACACATACAGTTCCTTGAAAAAATATTCTTACTCCTTGACGTTTGTCACATCTTGTGATATAACCACAATCTTCAATGCAACAATGCAACCACCTTTACTTCCCCTTCATAGTTATGTTGATTTATCACACTAAAAAAAAAACAAATACAATGATTTTTGTGGTTGTAGTGAGACAAAATGTGAAAAATTCAAAGGAGTACTAATACTTTTCCAAGGTATTGTATGTAGAAGTCAAAGCCAGTGGAGTTACTGGCTGTGTTTCTATTTTTCTTCAGGATCTAAAGACGTCCAGGACTGGAACCACAGGAGAAGTGTTTGATCACTTTGCTTCTGCCGCTCTCCCAGACACGCTCAGAGACTGCATCCCTTGTTCCTCTGAGCCTCATGTCCAACTGGACTGGGACGATAGTGTCCAAAAAAATCACATCTACAGATCAGCACTGCAACATCCCCCCCAATATGAATCAAGCAAGTGCATACAAAGTTCACACATTTCCTCTGTGTCCCTGAGTGATATAGCAGCAGCTAGGGAGTCTTCTACCAGTCAGGATCTGTACATGAGGATAATAAAGATGAACCAGATCGGTGACGGATTGAATGTGTCCTACACAGGAGACGCGCTGATGGTAGAGACGGCGTTTCAGTGCGGGTTGATTCCTGCCTCTACTTATTTAAAAATTCTGGAAAGGCAGGGAGTTATGAGAATTTCTGAGGGTTTGTCTTTCTGTGAGCCTGAAGTGGAGCTTAAGCTTAACGAAGTTCATGGCCTCATTCTTAGGTGCCTCGGTAATAATGAATCACCTCCATCGGGGAGGAAAATTAACCCGCTGACATCTGAGGGTGAGTCAGGTTCAAGTGATCAGGTGACCACATTAAGGTGCGATGATTGTTCTGTGGATCTCCAAAACAATGACGATGTGTGGGTGGATGTAGCAGTTCAGTGTGATTTGATGAGCTCCAGCAGCACCCTTATAGTTTTGGGACACCAGCAGCAGTTTATGGGACTTGTGCTGCCCCCTACTGGGGAAATTATGTACAACTCATTGCTGCGTGACCATCAAATCACCACCAGTGAGTTCACCAGCACACTGCTCAGTAGTCGAGGAAAAATAGCTGCCATTTACATTCCAGGGAGCTCAGAGATAATAGAAATCAACTCTGCTGCTAAAAAGGGTCTGATTGGCAGCTGTACAGCAGACATAGTGAGGTCTGTTGCAATTCCTGACTCACTGCCTGACTTTGAGCACCTTCATGAGACTTATTCATCATGGCTAATGCATAAAATGCTTTCAGTGGATAGATGGCATCATTCTGCAGCTGTTTCAGATCTGACCTCTCCCTCACCATCAGAGGCAGAGCAGCTATTCATCTCTTACTTGATGATGAACAGCTACATTGATCTCAGATCAGCTCAGAGGATTTTGATTTTTGACAATCAGTGTCAAACTTTTCTTCAAAATTTTACTCACTTTACTTCTAACTCCAGTTATGATTCAGAACAGGCAGATGTACAAATGTTGCTCATAAATGAGGAAACAGAGCAACTAATGGAAAACCCACATAATTATTTCGATTTTATCAATAATATCAATTGCCCAACTACACCTGATGAAAACGCTCAACATAAATCAGAACTGAATAATTTAGTCCATCTGGATAATAAAGCTGTGACTTCTGAAGAAAAAATTGTCACTGATGTTCATTCTCTGAAACGAGATTTTACTTATGAACTCTTACAGGTTCATGGCATTGAACCTAATGTAAACAGAGAAACTACTGATCCTTATATTCATTTCAAAAGAGCCACACAGCGTTTCCAGTGTGGCCCCGGGAACGCTGACAGTAACAGCCTTGATGACACAGCTTTTCTCGAGACACAAATGCCTCCAACTTCATATTCTGCAAAGAGTGAAAATGCTGATTCAAAATTTGATAATGAATCTGTGCTAAAATTTGATCAAGACACTTTGCCAAATTGCAATGCCGACTCACTATGCAGAAAATTAACAAATGCTGACATAACCCAATCTTACTTGTCATGCTCTTCTGACATTATTGAAGGTGAGAACAACTTTAACTGTACCTTTCTGGTTCATAAAGACCAAGTAAAGGAAGAGGGTAATTTTACTGACCCCTTGGGATCTCTAAAGAATTTTATGGCTGTACAGGCTGTACCAGAGCTAAATAACATGGAGTCAGATGAAAAAATTAGTGTGTTAGGACTCAATGACGACACATTGTTAGATCTGGAACAAACAGACATTTGTCCGACAGAGCAGGACAGCTCTTTCAAATCTGATTGCACTATTACTTATAGCAATGCATTGAAATTTGAATTAGGTGAAACTGAGCCAGTTGCCATTGAGCTAAAATCCTGCTCTTTCTCTGGAGAAAACATCAATTCTGACAACTTCGAGGGTCACACTGTGAGTTGGAGTCAGATGTACGGAGCTGAAAACATGCAGGTGCAGAGAGGAACGAGAGGAACGACTGTCATGGCGCTTGATTTACCAAATGAGGAAGACAATAAAGACACTGAGGATGCTGATAAAGAAGGAAGTGCAGAAACAAAGAGTATTCAAAAACACTGTGGTGATGAGTCCAAGATGCTCTCACCCTCATCTTTGATTCCTGTTTCTGGAGACTTTTTTTTCCTTACAGACACTCTGCCTTTGATGACTAAAGACTGTGACTCACAGGTTTCACTCAACGGGCAGGTGACAGGTGCAGCTGATGTCCACAATTTTATCGAAGAGAACACTGCTCCTATGAAGGAGTCAGACTTGTGTAATATACGTGGCATGAGCACTGTCTCACAAAGCCAGCCTCAGCATGCAGGCTCTGTTACATGTTGCTCTCATAAATCTAAGAGCCAGCCCATTGATGAGCTTTCCATTGAAGGGAATGACTTCCAAAAAGAAACTCATGCTGTTTGTGAGAGTGAATTAGGGACAACTCCATCATTGTGCAATGATTTCTGT